AGAAGGAAGTGCAAGAACCTCGTTTATCAATAACATAATGCACCTGTCCATTTAAAGAGATTTTCAGATGATTTTTTTGTCTTATCCATTTGTTCGAAAACTGTCTTGTTTTTTTTTTATCTTACTTTATTAACCCAAAGAGTATATCTATTATAAACACATTTTGGTTAAGCCCAAACTTTGTGTATATAGATATCTGTGTGTATGTATATATATATATATATATATAAATACACACACATATATATATATATATATATATATATATATATATATATATACACTGCGTGCCAAATTATTATCGAGATAACTTTTTTCTATTTCAAAAACCGTCCAATCAATTCACACAAAATTTTCACACAACGTTGGCAATACTGATCTGCGCAATCACGCAATGTAAACAAAATGGCGCCATATTTGTTGTCATCACGGTGATTTGAGAGTGCCAAATTATTAAAGTTTAATAAAATTCCCAGAATTGAGCAAACAAAACGTTTATTAATGTTTCCCGTGAATGTTTATGATCAAAAGAACCTAATAAATAAGATAATCAAACAAATAACAACAGATACAAACAAAGGCACAGTTATAAACAAATTAATAGGGAATGTGCTTTCCCAGTTTTGAAATTACTTGAAGAAGTCTACGATCCATAGAATTTGTGAATTGTAGGATGTTATCTGCTGTAATGCCGCGAGATATGTCAAGAATTGCTTCCCACAACTCAGCGTTGCTCCTGAATTGTCGTCCGTTGGCGTACAGTCTTCACTTCATGATGCTCCAAAGGTTTTTGATTGGGTTCAAATCCGGAGAATTTGCTGGCCACTTCATTTTTCGAGGTCCATCGAAGCCTAACTGTTTCAAATAATCAGTAGTCTTATGAGCAGCATGTGAGGGAGCATTATCTTGCATAAAAACAATGGCCCTTCTGAAGGCAACTCTTTGCCTTTTCATCCAAGATTCAAGATGCTCCTTCATAAACACTATGTATGCATCAGCAGTCATTTTGACACCATCTAGTACTCTCCATGGAGCCACTAATATTTTTCCAATAATACCACCCCAGATCATTATGCCTCCACCGCCTTGTTGGCGTCTCAAATGCTGATAGCGATTCTGTCCGTTCATTACCCAGCCTTTGCACCATCTATCTGGCCCATCAAGTGTTGTTTCGAGTTTCGTCTGTGGACAAAACTTTAAAGAAGTCAATCTTCATATTGTCCTCAGCCCATTTCAATTGCTGGTTTATTACTAAGTGGCCTTGTGCCAGACACCACACTAAACTACCGAGTCTACAAGCAAGTAAAAAAAATAAAAATATGCGTGAATGAACAACGAAGAAATGTGGTTAATCCACACGTGCATAAAATAAAATATATTAAGATAGCCGACACAGAATGACAGAAAAAAAAGACTGGATTCCAACAAGAGTAATTTTTATTAAATGCAGGAAAACAAGTAAATCATCCCGTAGTCGGGATCAATGAAAAAGTTCCGCGCCAAAAGTAGAAAAACAAGATGGCTAAAGGCGGGAAGGTTCTTGAAGAAGAAAGGTTCCAGCTAAGTCAATGTACATGATAATATTCATACAAGGAAAAAAAAAATACTCACTGCGAGTTTTTAGGTAATGTGAGTGAATGTTATGTACATATTTTTTTTTTTTTTTTTTTTTTTTTGTACTGGTTCAAAACAGATTTATGACCAGACCCAAAGTGGACGACGAATTAATATTTTGTATGTTTGCATCGTCTCGAAAAGGACTTTGAATTACAAAGGGCCGAAAAGTTAATTATTTGGTATATGCATCATCTCGTAGAAGGACTTTGAATGACGAGTCACAAAGGGCCGAGGAATTAATTATTTTGGATGTTTGCATCATCTCGGAGAAGGACTTTGAATGACGAGCCAAAAGGGACGAAGAATTAATTATTTGGATATGCATCGTCTTATAAAAAGGATTTTGAATGACGAGCCAAAAGGGACGAAGAATTAAATATATGCATCGTCTTATAAAAGGAGTTTTGAATGACGAGTCAAAAAGGGACGCAGAATTAATATTCGGTGTTGGCATCGTAAGATATCCTTCGTCAGTCAACCTTGCATATTGACATGGCTAAAAATGAGTCTGCTTAGGTCCGAATCTGGATCACAACTGACTTTTTCTGAAACAACAGTTTGTCGTTGACGTCACAAATTTTTCGCGGCAAGATTTCAAAAATCTAATTTGCATAAACAGGATAGCAGGTCGTTTGACTGGTGACCAAAAAAACAGTTACTACTGTATTAGACCGAACGAGGGAGAAAGGGGTGTCAAACGCGCGCGCGCGCCCGCGAGTGTGAAAGAAAGGGAGGAAACTCGCGCGCGCGTAAAATGTCGTAGATGGAATAATACATTATTCCACACAGCCCTCCTCCTGGATCAAATGTCGCAGACATTTGACTAATAATAGTAGAATGTTTCAAATTTCTTTGGAAAGGTGACTTTTCGACCGGAGCTGGTATACTTAGGCTTGTCGAGAGAAACAGGTGTCTTGAAATTCTCCTGAACTTGCGGAGTTGATTGGGAAGTAGTATGAGACGACGGTTTTCTATAAAGGCAGGTTTCAACCGATCTATTGAAACGTTGTCGGTGTGAATACCTTTTTGTATTTGGAAATATTTGTCCGCGCGTTTAAGAACGCGGTATGGGCCTGTGTAGGCCGGCGTAAGAGGCCGCTTAACAGAGTCGTTACGTACAAATACAAACTCGCAGTCCTTGAGCTGGTGCGGTAAATAGATATCACTCGGGCAGTGCCGCGGTGGTGTATAGCATAAGTTTGCCATTTTAAGGCGTAAGTCCTGAATAAAAGAGGAAGAAACTGGTGGTGTGGTCACAGCTGGTGAAAAATATTGGCCAGGTAAAGATAACGAAGTACCAAATACAAGCTCTGCAGGGGAGCATTTCAAGTCATCCTTAAGAATATTTCTTAACGATAGAAGGATGAGGGGTAATTCATCGACCCAATTATTATTCTCATGCTTCGTTGATAGCGAAGCCTTAAAGGGTGCGATGGAATCGTTCCACCAGCCCATTAGCACAGGGGTGATACGCTGTAGTACGTATATGCTTTGCACCAAGGAGTTCAGTGAATTCCCTGAAAAGACACGACTGGAACTGTGCTCCTCTATCTGTAGTAACCACTTTAGGAGTCCCAAAATCGAAATCCAATCGCGTAAAATAGCTTTTTGCGACAGTCACAGCAGTGGTATCTTTGACAGGGATGGCAGTAGGCCATCGGGAAAAACGATCCACTATAGTTAGAAGGTAGGAATAACCATGGCAGGTTGGTAGGGGCCCAACTAAGTCCAGGTGTATATTAGTAAAACGAGCATCAGGCTCGCTGAAAGTGCCCACAGGAGATTTTGTGTGTCTATGCACCTTACACTTCTGACATTGTAAACATGTATTGACCCATTCGCGAATGTGAACGTTCATATTCGGCCAAACGAAACGGTCCGAAATTAATTTAACTGTGGCTCTTTTGCTAGGGGTGTGAGAGTCCGTGTAGGTGGTCAAAAACCTGTCTACGAAGAGACGGAGGAACATAAGGTCTTGGGGATTTGGATTTAACATCACAGTATAGGACCTTGTTACTAAAAAAGGAGCTGGACATTTCTGAAGTTCCAAAGAAGTGTCGGATAACACCTGCTTCAGAGTTATGTCCGCTTTCTGTTCGTCGGCGATCAAGTCTTGACTGAGTGCATCAGTATGCACGCCGAACATCTCAGTACGAGATAGGGTATCGGCAACAGTGTTATCCGAACCCTTAATGTACCTAATATCAGTAGTAAATTGAGATATATAGTCCAGATATCTGATTTCCCTCGAAGTGTATTTGTCCGAATTGGTGGACATAATGGACGTTAAAGGTTTGTGGTCCGTAAAGATGACGAAGGACCTACCTTCGAGGAGGTGTCTGAAATGCTTAATAGCACGAAAAATAGCCAACAGTTCACGAGAAAAGGTACTGTAGCGTGACTGGGCAGGAGAAAGTTTAGCGGAAAAGAACGCTATGGGTTTACGTTGAGAAGGACTGACTTGTTCAATGACCGCGCCTATTGCTGTTTCGCTAGCGTCAGTGGTCAGGTAGATATCCGATTGAGGGTCGTCCTCTAAGAAACTGAGCTTAGAAAAATTGCCTAGAGCGGTTTTAGCTGCTCGAAAGGCGTCCAAGGCTTCATTCTCAAGTATAATAGTCTTATTCTTCTTCTGTAATAAGTTGGTAAGGGGAGTCAGAATGTTAGAACAGTTTGGAATAAACCTCCTGTAGAAGTTGATCATCCCTATAAAGCGTCTCATCTGTTTAATAGAAACAGGGACGGGAAACTCAGTGATAGCTTTAATCTTTTCAGTTAAAGGAGCAATTCCATTTGCATCGACATGATGTCCTAAAAATTCTATATGGTCTGATCCGAAGACACATTTGTCCAGGTTTAGACGAAATCCGTAATGGGACAAACGTTGAAGAACTTCGTGTAGGTGTTGTTTATGCGAGGCAGCGTCCTCGCTAGCTATCAGAATGTCGTCAATGTAATCGAAAACAAAGGGAGTCCACGCAGAACCTCGTCCATAAGACGCTGAAAGGTCTGTGCTGCGTTGCAAAGGCCGAAAGGCATTTTCAAAAATTCAAATAAACCGAAAGGTGTAGTAACAGCAGTTTTTGGGACATCAGCAGCAGCTACTGGCACCTGATAATATGCTTTTTTTGCGAGATCTATTTTAGTAAAAATCTTTGCGCCTTGTAAACCAGAAGTGAAATCGTGGAGGTGGGGGATTGGATAACGATCCCGGACGGTGATGGAATTCAATCTTCTATAATCCACACAAATTCTATAGTCTTCCTTTCCTGGTTTAGGTACCAAATGAAGAGGGGAAGCGTAGGGACTGTCGGACGGACGAATAACACCCTCTCGTAGCATGTCGTCGAAAGCTTTCTTTGCGAATTTTAATTTGTTAGGTGCTAGACGACGAGGACGGGAAAAACAGGTTGACCAGTGGTCTTAATAAAGTGCTGTGTTTGATGTTTAGTTGAATCAATAGATCCAGCAGGACGCAGGAGGTCCTGGTACTGATTCAATAAGTCTAAGTACTCTTTATTGTGGCACGTTGCCACGGTGATGCCAGTGGTGGTAAGTTTAGAATAAGTGCCAAGAACACACAGTCTTGTTAAGTTGTCAGTCAGGGAATGGTTGTTCATTCGAACGGCTAGATCATAGTGCGCCAGGAAATCGGCACCTAATATCGGCATCTGGACGTCAGCAACAGTAAAATTCCAGGTAAAGTCTCGTCGCATTCCTATGTTTAGGGTAAGGGACTTCGTACCGTAAGTATTAATACTGGAACCATTTGCTGCTTGTAGGCGGAGCTGGAAAGGTTGTTGACGTGCTTTATCACGCACGGGTAAGACACTAATGGCAGCGCCGGTGTCAACCAAAAAACGTAAATTATTACGTGTATCCGTCACATAGAAAAGGCGACTAAGTTTTTTGGTGAAAATGCCTTGCCAGCGAGATTAGTCGCTTTCACTCGCTGGCGGTTTTGTTTTCCGCGACCGCAGTATAGGAACACGGCTTGGTGCAGTAGTGTGCTGCAGACCCAAATCGTCGGTGGTAGTAACACATAGTAGAAGTGGCATCCTTGTTCCGACTGGACGAGCGAGGTCGACTTCTGAAGCGCCGGCGGGGGGAACCGGCTTCGACCATGGCTTTTATAGCTAACGTTAAATCTCTAACTTGGCGTTGCAAATCCTCCACTGTTTTTTTCCAGGACCTGTGGTCCCCAGTCGCTTCAGCACTGTGTACTGGCGTTGTCCGATGATCCAGTTGCGAGAAAATACGGTCAGCGGCGTCCGCTAACTGGTCGATCGGGGTGTTTTTCGGACATGGGCGCCAAAATTTGTGTAATGGTGGTGGGGAGACGGTCCAGCCATAAGCTTTTCAATATAGAGTCAGCCATGGTATTTTTGCCGAGTCGGCTTTTCATATAACGAAGGAGTTGGGAGGAGTCCTGCCATCGCAAGTTAGGTTGCTAAATAGTTCCCGGATTAATGATTCCTCCGTACGGCCCATTCTCCGTAAGATCGCTTCTTTTAACCGGGCGTAGGGCTCTACTTCAGGAACGGTTTCTAGGAAGTCTGCTCCTTCGTCGACAATGGCGGGTGGCAAAACCGCCACCACGTGGCCAAACTTTTTGTTTTTGGTCTGTAATCCTTCTGACTGTAAAAGATAGCTTCCATTTGCAGGAACCAGTTCTTTATATTCCCTTCATGAAAAGGGGGAAAAGGAGCGACGGCGGCGGTCATGTTCGCCAACTCTTCAGAGTCATTAGACGTCATTCTGGCTATCGAATTTATGCACGTTTATATTTCAGCTTGCTCAGAATTATGTTGGCAAGGTTGCAAAATTATTGCGTGTTCAATTCACGTCTGGTCACCAAACTTGTTGCAGGCCCGGTAGGGTGCAGTGCTGGTTTATTACTAAGTGGCCTTGTGCCAGACACCACACTAAACTACCGAGTCTACAAGCAAAGTAAAAAAATAAAAAATATGCGTGAATGAACAACGAAGAAATGTGGTTAATCCACACGTGCATAAAATAAAATATATTAAGATAGCCGACACAGAATGACAAAAAAAAAGACTGGATTCCAACAAGAGTAATTTTTATTAAATGCAGGAAAAACAAGTAAATCATCCCGTAGTCGGGATCAATGAAAAAGTTCCGCGCCAAAAGTAGAAAACAAGATGGCTAAAGGCGGGAAGGTTCTTGAAGAAGAAAGGTTCCAGCTAAGTCAATGTACATGATAATATTCATACAAGGAAAAAAATACTCACTGCGAGTTTTTAGGTAATGTGAGTGAATGTTATGTACATATTTCTTTTCTTTTTTTTTTTTTTTTTTGTACTGGTTCAAAACAGATTTATGACCAGACCCAAAGTGGACGACGAATTAATATTTTGTATGTTCTGCATCGTCTCGAAAAAGACTTTGAATGACGAGTCTCAAAGGGCCGAAAAGTTAATTCTTTGGTATATGCATCATCTCTTTGAATGACGAGTCACAAAGGGCCGAGGAATTAATTTTGATGTTTATGCATCATCTCGGAGAAGGACTTTGAATGACGAGCCAAAAGGGACGAAGAATTAATTATTTGGTATATGCATCGTCTCATAAAAGGATTTTGAATGACGAGCCGAAAGGGACGAAGAATTAATTATTTGGTATATGCATCGTCTTATAAAAGGATTTTGAATGACGAGCCAAAAGGGGACGCAGAATTAATATTTGGTGTTGGCATCGTAAGATATCCTTCGTCAGTCAACCTTGCATATTGACATGGCTAAAAATGAGTCTGCTTAGGTCCGAGTCTGGATCACCAACTGACTTTTTTCTGAAACAACAGTTTGTCGTTGACGTCACAAATTTTTCGCGGCAAGATTTCAAAAATCTAATTTGCATAAACAGCAGGTCGTTTGGTTGGTGACCAAAACAGTTACTACTGTATTAGACCGAACGAGGGAGAAAGGGGTGTCAAAAAACGCGCGCGCGCCCGCGAGTGTGAAAGAAAGGGAGGAAACTCGCGCGCGCGTAAAATGTCGTAGATGGAATAATACATTATTCCATCCCTCAGATACCGACACCGAGTACTTTTAGACACAGTAGGATCCCCAATGCGACTGAAAAGCTCTTGACTGGTAAGTCCAGCTTCCTGGCCTCTCGTTTAAGTCGTGACATGAGACGACGTGAAATAACCTTCGGCTTGCCTTTATCTGCCCTTTTGCGTACTTGTGTAGGGTCGGCGGTGAACTTTTTCACTGTTTGATGACACCTCCCTATCGTTTTAGAAGTTTCTAGGGTAGATTTACCTTTTGAGAGTTCTGAGGTGATAGTTTTCTTTTCAGCATCACTTAAACTGCCTTTACGGCCCATCTTTTCATTAAATTCTTACACGTTTCTAATAATTTGGCACTCTCAAATCACCGTGCTGATAACAAATACGGCGCCAGTTTGTTTACATTGCGCAGATCAGTACGAAAATTTCAGTGATTGCGCTGGTCTGTGTTGCCAACATCGTGTGAAATTTCTGTGTGAATTGATTGGAGGGTTTTTGAAATATTAGAAAAAAAGTTATCTCGATAATAATTTGGCACGCAGTGTATATATATATATATATATATATATATATATACATATATATATATACACACACACACACACATATATATATATACACACACACACACACACATATATATATATACACACACACACACACATATATATATATATATATATATATACACACACACATATATATATATATATATATATGATAAAATATTGTTTAAAGTATGGTATGTTTATAGGCACACACATATATATATGTATGATAAAATATTGTTTAAAGTATGGTATGTTTATAGGTAAACGTGCTCAATATTGTGGATAGAGGATATGTAAATATGCATAAACAGCATCAGCTTCAGCCTACAACAATAAATCTTGAAACTGTAAACTCTGTCTGTAGGAGAAAATAGCTATGATCACTTTCCGAGGACAAAATAATTTACTAAATAAACGATCGGAACTTATCTCAAAATGCAGACACAAAAGCAATTTTTTAATATGTGATTTAACAATTGAAAACTAAAAATGAAAACCTTAGAAAATATTATGATGAAAAAGGAAAATATACACACTATATGAAATGTAGAAAATGTAACATGCTTTAGACAAAAACAATACTTTAAACAAATAGGCTAACCAACCTCCGAAATTAAAAAGAATGAAGCAAAAAAATAAACAAAAATCAAAATAAATAAATTAACAAATGAAGTAAATAATAAACAAATTGACAAATTACAGATGCAAACATAACCACATGTAAATATAATAATAATAATAATCAACAAATAATAAAGTAATCATTAATAATAAGTATAACCTTAACAAGTAATGCAATAAAATAGGTAGAAATATCTGTGTATGGATCAAAAATTATTTCTGTTCAAAAGCTTCCTTGAGAATAATTTGAAACATAACCATGACCACCAACCCAATAACAATTAGGATAATACAATATACCTTGCTACCTATAATGCACTATTGATCAGCATATATAAATAGTTGAGCCAAAACATAATACACATAGCCTGAAGATTGTGTACACACATGGAACAAATTGTTGCCACTTATAAATATGAAGTTTTCTGGAGTTGAGTCTACTTAATGCAGATTTTATCCCAAATGCTGCAAAATCAGTCAGCAGCTTCCTTGTCCAGAGAAAGGTTTTTACTAAGATATAGATCTAACTTTTTATTAATCTTGTACATCAGTGACCCAAAATGTCTTTTTTTGCATTGAGAAAAAAGAAAGAAAATGTTTAAACACTATAGTCGAAATAACCTAATTCATTTAGGCAAGCTCATTTTTCTTAAGGAATGAGGAACATTTGGGGCCAGTTTGGTTGTAGGAGTTGCCAGAAAGTTTTTAGTGTTGATAGTCAATCATCTTTGGGCCCCCACTGTGTTTTATCATAGTCATTTTTCATGTTTAGCTGTATATGACCACAAGGCAGTGGAGATTTAAAATCAGGGTTTTCCTTCCTCTAGCTGGAATGCCTTCCTGGGCTGTCAAGCTCCATCTACCTGAAGCAGCTGGATCTGAGCTGTCCATTCACTAACATGGAGCTGAATTTAGTTGTCAAAGGCTATCTGAGATGCATGCCACAGAAGCATTTTATAGACAGTGAAAGCTTGTCCTCTCTATCACCTCCAGCTATGACAACCTATGGAACAGATGCAATGTACATATATAAACATTATATACAAGCTCCCCCAAAATTTCATATAGAATCCATTATCTTTGTTTCAGAATGTTTTCTAAGGTTTCACAAGCAATAAAAAAAGCTGAGACACCTTGAAAACACTTCAAATATTTCTGTAACATATTCAAAAATTTGGTGCTGTGAACTTTTATATCATCACCTCTGTGTGTGTGTATATATATATAATTTCAGTACTTACTGGAAAATCCTCAATATCAGTGATAGAGCTAACATATTCAGTCATATGGATATGAGTTTGCAATCATCAAACTGATTTATTTTTTAAAATTTGAATCTATGTATGTTAGTTTGCATTTAATTATGTTTGGTGGTGGCAGGGAGAAAAAATTCTCCTGTGTCCATTTTTGAATGACACTCATATGCATGCAGACATACATACAGGTGTATGTATTATAGTTCACACAAGCACATGTATATATAAACAATGTGAGACCAGGCGTAGACATACATCCATTTGTTCAAGCGCACATACATACACAATTGTAATCTTTTTTAGTGTCGAGACTGTGTGTAGCAAAGTTTTTTCAACAAGGGGTGGGCTGGGGTGTTCTTGTCTCCATTCGGATCGGCTGTCTGTGTTATCAAATGGAATAACACTTCTTCACACTCACATACTGTTATGGTCTGGTTCCTTGTACCACGGTGGTAGTCCAAGGTAGAACCAATAAAGAAGAACACAGATATGGAATAACACAGATATATTACAAACAGCAATATATACAGAGAAGTAGAAAGTGTTAGTACGAACAATCAGGTTTAGTAGTAATTGTCTGAACGCGACTCTGTTTCGGACTGCCTCTGACTCAACTGACTGACTCGCTCTGACTGACTGACAGACTCCTAATGGACTTCACTCCAGACTTCAGACTGAACTCTCTGCTTCCTCTTGAGATGCAGTATTAATTACGTATAGAATAGTTCATTATGCTATTATGGGTAAGGTCCTATAACACATACACATATGTATGTTTGAAAATGTATTTCTATCTGTCTGGGCCCTACATCATCACATTGCTTAAAGGGTTCTGTATGTGAATGTGGTGATGATGATTTTGTTTTTAATAATGATTACTTGAGTATTATAGATGATTGCAATTATATTGATAGTGCTAATAATTCATATTCTAATTGGTAATAATAGTTATTGGTGAGTTAACGGTAAATTTAACTCTAATGTTGATGGATAAGGAAAGTATAACAGTAAAAATGTTACTATAATAATTATGATAATAGATGTAACAAACATAAAAGTGATGGTGAAAATAGTAAAAATAAAATAATTACAATAATGAGAAAAATGAAAATGGTAAAAAGCAGTACTAATTTTGTTGAGAGGATATGAAGCGGTAATAATAATAATCGTAGTAATGAATAATAATGATAATAACAGTAGTAGTAATAAATAATAATGATAATAATTAATAAAAAATAATGATAATAAATAATGCTAAATTA